TATGTCCTTAAAACGCAGAAATAGCAAAGATCTCCGAGTGCAACCTATATCAGGATATGTTTACGCGATAGCAAGGGGGCAGGAGGTTTTGCCGCAAGAAACCCTTTGGGAGTCATTTATGTTCACATGTTCTAATTGGGTATTCACACAGTAATAGTAATAAAAGATTAATGTCTTTACGTGGGGCATGGTTACCCATATTGCCCGAGCCAGAGGCTCATGTAGGAAACGCAAGACAACAACCCACCCATTCCACCCCAGGGAAGGACATCCATCACACAGTAATCTCGTGCGTGGGAAATTAACGTCTCCTGCCCCTAACCCTGCAGGAGACGGGACCTCCATTTATTCGTCCCTATCCGAGAAGACTAGAATATCTAAACCATTTCTTGATGTTATAGAAAGGCAGCATATTCTTCTCAATTATTTTAGGACCTTGAGTGTTGGTCCGGCCTGGTCTCGAACCCTCGACCTCCCGCACATCAGTCCAGCGCTCTATCCATTGAGCTAACCGGAATTCATTAGCTCACCTTGGTGAGCTAGCGAATTCAGTTAAAACAATAAGTCTACTTTGCCTTTGCCGCAATGCCCTTAAAAATGCAACTTTTAATCTCGGCTCAGTGCAAAATTCCAATATCTTCTTTATGATATTTTTATTCATACTAACTAAGAAAAGGTAGCTAGAGGAGTGTTGAAATATATAAATATGTTGTGGTTTCGGCGAAATTCAAGTACAGCCGGTCAACATAACATGCGCACAGGGAAGCTTGCTGGGTCAACGAATTCATTAACGATATCAATATCTCATCTCTTCGACTATATGCAGATTACGCAACCCAATATGGGTTTGATGAATCCCATGATGTTCTCGAATTTCTACTGAACAAGGACATTGAAGTCTTGGCTAGATGGTTTTCTAGCAATCCTCTCCAAGTTAATGCGTCAAAAACACAAGCAAAGACTTTAAGTAGATCCCAGTACAAATACGACTTTAATTCAAGTAATAACAGCATCCAGCCTTAAACTACACTTAGAATCTTTAGGGTTACTTTAAATGATAAACTTACTTTCAAACTTTCTGTCAATGAGTGCAAATTACAAATAGCGCGGACACGCTGTCAAAGTTTCGCCTTTCTTGACTTTCTGTGACACATTTTTCCAGCAAATTATTAATTAGCAACACCTTGATTTCTCATGCAATTTGGTCACACTCGAAATCATGTTATTACCTATTCTAATCCTTTAACTGAGACCCCATCTCAATCATAGTTCATTACTGAATCAAATCTGTCAAATCCTTCAACTTTTCCATCTTTCAAGACCAAAATCCTCTGGCAGTCTCTTATCGTGTTCAAACGGTGAGCTATAGTGATGACCGTGGACTCCTTCAGTTTACCCCGCACTACATTCCATATCGTCTTCTCTGTGTCTGGGTCTACATGCGCAGTTGGCTCGTCCAAGACGACGATTTTACTTCGCTGTAGCAGCACACGAGCCAAGCAAATTAACTGCCGCTCTCCAACACTGACATTAGCGCCATGTTCCAGTAGTTCGTGATCGAGCTTGGCCTCAAGTCTCTCAACAAAATCTTTCAGTTGCACATCCTCTAAGGCCTGCCATAATTCAGCGTCTTGAAACTTGTCTAAAATGTCGAGATTTTTTCTCAATGTTCCACTAAAAAGAACGGGACTTTGGCCAAGAACTGAGATACCTCGTCGGGCTTGTTGGAGGCCTATCTCTTTAATTGGAACATCGTCGATGATTATCTCTCCATCAGCATCAGGCATGCGCATAAGAGCTGCTACAAAAGATGACTTCCCGGATCCCGTGCGGCCTGCAACTCCAATCTTTTCTCCTCCTTTGATGTTCAGATTGATTTTCTTCAGCACTTGAGGTCCCCCCGGATAGTAAGTCAGAGATACATCTCTGAATACAATACTTCCTCTCCGAGGCCAGTCTTTAGGGGGTTGTCGCTCTTCCTCGTATCCAGGCTCCTGGTCGAGTTTGGTGTAGGTCATAACTCGTTCAACTGACGTCATGTAGTTTTCTACTTCAGAGGCTTTTCTAACTGCGTATTGAGTCATGTTCAGAGTTTGGATGACATAAACGAGAGCGAGANCACTGCAGTATGTCAGGATAGATGAATAGGTTAACCATGGTATACATTAAAAGATAACTGCTCTCGGAAGCTTAATGCTGATAAGGTAGCCCGCAAAATAGCCGGCTGTTTCTCATGTTTTTCAGCGCAAACCTGCACGAGGCAAACGAGAGCGGCTAGACACGTGCTTCTCCAATAGCGCGTGTCTAACCCTTCGCGTTTTCCTCGTGCGTGCCTCACGCTCGTTCTTCAATTGTTCTGCAGAAAACCGCAAAAAGCCCCCCTGGGTGTCAAGGCAAGGTTTTAATGCAAGTTCATTTCCATTTTTTACTTTGAACTCATAATCTTGGATAAATCGACAGTTGTAATGCTTTGGCACGTAATATTAAAAAGATGGTTGTATTCCCTTTAATGGCCTCACTCAAAGCTAGTAACTCAGTATAACAATAAGTTTACCTTGAGTAATGAGAATTAAAACAACCATTCCAGTTATCATCAAAGGATGTATTCCACTTCTGAAGTAGTCCCAGTATAGCTTGGATGTCACAACTCCGATTGTACGATCCTCCTTTGCTATTTCCAAACTCCTCGCTTCATTAGGCAGGGGACTTATTTTCTGGCATTTTTCAGCATCATCGTGTTTCTCAGTATCCTCCCAGGCAAACGTCTCAGATGATTCTGTTTTGTCCTTCAAAGTTGCTTTATAGAGCGGGTCAACAGTTGCACTGATGACACCTTTTTCGTGCAGCTCAATAAAACATCCCTTGTCCAGGACGCACCCTTTATTCAACACAATCACTTCATCGGCATTTTCCAAGTGCTGTTGCTGATGAGAAGTTAGCAGAACAATTTTATCAGCCAGCAGATCTTTGATGCACTTGTTAAAGATGTGTTGGCCAACTTTGAAATCGATAGCACTTAGTGGGTCATCCAACAAATAAAAATCTCCGTCGGCATAAACTGCACGAGCCAAACTTACTCTTGCCTGTTGTCCTCCACTCAGAACCTCGCCGTGTTCTCCAACAACTGTTTGGTCACCATCAGGTAACCGCTGAAAGTCTTCTTTCAGAGCACAGACCTCGATTATTCTTTCGTACTTGGACTCCGCGAAGGGCTGGCCAAAGAGCATGTTTTCTTTTATTGTTCCCGAGAACACCCAAGCAGTCTGAGGCAAGTAAATGACACTACCTCGATAAAAAATCGTCCCACTAGTGTCGGAAATTTCACCAGCGATCGCTGAGAGCAGAGTAGACTTACCACTTCCAACCGGCCCGGTGATTGCTGTTAAACTATTTGAAGGTGCAACAAAGTTGATACCCTGAAGAAGAAATTCGGCTTCACGATGGTTTTTTGCGCAGGTTAAATTTGACACACAAAGATCAGTTGGCCCTAATTCTGTTGCTTCACAAGAGAGTGAAATGTTCTCCACCTTTTCGGCTTCTTTTCTCGAGAAGCCGCTACTTTTTCTAGTGGAGATACTCTCGGCCTTTTGTTGTTGTTTCTTACTTTCATCACCCTCCAATAAATTTTCTAAAAGAAGAAATTCTTCGATTCTTTCGAGTGAAACGTACGCGTCATATGTTTTCAGGAAACCATATATCACATTCTTCATGCCACCAAGTTTTAGAAAACCCATGAACGACAGCAGCATAAAAACATTAGCGGGTGTGAGGGCCTGGCCTGTGAGCACCATAGTAATTACTGACACCAATGTTGCTAATGGCGTTGCACTGTACAACAAGGCATCAAGACTTGACTGAATAGCTGTCCTCTTCGAAATGGCGCTGATTTCATTTCTGAAGATAAAAGATCATCGTAAGTTATGTGGGCATTCTCTCGAGCCTACTCCTCCCCAGTCTACTCTCCGACTATGAACTATTAACGAGGTGGGCGCGTGAGAAGTGTACCCTGCCTTTGAAAAATTTCCCATCGTCCTGTTTGTCATAGAAGTGTTAATCTCCTATGACCCCAGCACCATGTATGAAAATCAAAGGCACCACGGAAGACGATTTTGGCTCAATGAAATGTTCTACCAGTTATGATTTAACAATGGTTCGTCGAAGGCGAAGTGCGGAATACATTTCAAAATCCTCAACACGAAATCGACTAATTATTGAGCTTGAGGCAAGTGATTGTTTTTAGTATAAATGCTCAGGAGCTTCCAAATTCTGTTGCAAATTCACTCTGTTATTAACGCCATTCGGTAAATAAAGAAAACTTTTGACGATAAAAATCAACGGTAAAACACGATTCGACCGTGCTTCGGTCATTGTCAAGTGAATGGAATGAAATACAGTAAATATATGTATATATACACGTAAGAAATATAAAAAAATTTTTTCAGGTGTGAACAAACGATAAAACTACAAAGAAAGTGCTAGTAAGAAGCTAATTAAAAACCTTAGCACGAATTGAATCAGACTGTACATTGAGAACAGGTCTTAGCTTATGAATAAAAAACATCTTATAGACGAGACAGTCAAATTTGTTCGTGCACTTCATCACATTGAAATTTGTATACAAGGCACTGTTGGTTCACAATCGGCGGCTTAGCTTCTCGCAATTTGAGGTCTCCACCAATCTTCTGGCTAACAAATCGATTGACTAATTGATCGTGCATTTCGACTTTCATCTAATTGGCGTTATTTCTCTGAAGAATGCGATCGACTTAAATCAGTATTTTCTCGTTTGAAATATCCTGATAATCTAGTCAATTCTACCATTTCACGGTTTGTTGCCGCCAAAGTATCTGATCAACCAGTTTCCTTACCTGCTGTCAGCGATCGATCGGACCCCATTCGCGTTGTCCTACCGTATAAGGATCAGGCATCCACTGATATTGTTCGTGCCCAACTTAAAGATCTAAGTCATAGGATCCAGACGACCTTACAACCTGTATTTGTTAGCCAGAAGATTGGTCGAGACCTCAAATTGCGAGAAGCTAAGCCGCCGATTGTGAACCAACAGTGCCTTGTTTACAAATTTCAATGTGACCTGTGCGATGCAGGTTATGTTGGTTTCACACGCCGTCATCTACACCAACGTATTG